ATCGTGAATGAGAATGAATGGAAGAATGGGTGGCGCACCCGGACTGAGACAAAGACTTAACCTCAGGCTCGCAGGACGAGGTTGATCACTGAAAATCATGCCATTATTATCATCAATTTTCATTACATCCGAAACTTGGTGGACAAGTCTATGCGTTACGGTTCGTAGAGAACGGAGAGCTCGGGCCTCTGCGCCGCCAATGCATCTACCAACGCAGCATGCGAATCCTCCTTGTCCAGCGCGATTTCTCGAAGGTTTGGCATTTTGGCCTTTCCATCCTCCCCGGGTTCGCCTAACCTCTTGCCCCAGGATTCCACAAGACCAACCCAGCTATGGCCCTTCCACCACATACTGTCGATGTTAGAAAACACAGAAAACATCAGTTCCAAGCGGTCGGAATTCTTCAACATCTCATGTTCTTCTTGAACACACATGAAATCAATTTCTAACCACTTTAGCTTTGTGGGAGGCCTTAAGGCCCAGCTGACTGGAAGGAGCGAGAGAAAATATGTGAAACTATTTGGTTTTAAGGCTGACAGTACGAGTATCTTGAGTCGCGGCATGTTGATGGCCAAGAGCACAGGTGGGGCGAGGTGCGCCATAACGCGCAGATACTGCAGGGCTGGTAAGACAAGCGGGCTGTCTAAGCGAGCTTCAGAGACAGAAATCTCGTCGTGTAACAACACCATCGTTGTGAGAGTCGAAGAAGACGGGCCGAGGAATGTATGTACGGGGAATCGTACATTTGCAAGCATGATCTTTTCCGCCTTTATAACGAGATTCAAAGATGCGACGTCCATGCCACGAAGATAAACTCCTTTGAGAGACTTGAAATTCTTCGCGAGCAGTTTTGATACGGCCGAGGGGAGTTTGATCATGGAAAATGTCTCGATGCGCAGAAAATACAGGTGCGGAGCGTCGTACTTTAGAATAGTAGTGAGCATACTCGTAGTGCAGTTTTCAACCGATATTTCCTTTGCGTTTGGAAAATGCCTCGCGATGGAATCGTGCACGAGCATTTGATTGCATACGTCTCCGGGGTACAAAATATTGAAAATCATTGGGCGTCCTTTACAGCGTTCGATTTGCGCGGAAAGGAGATGCAGTCGGTGGGCATTGTAGGTACCCCAGGCTATGTACACCCAGAGCGCAGGGAATCCAAGCGCTGCCTCTCTCCATCGGTGGCACACTTGTGATACAGCAATGGCTACTCGTGCGTTTTCTTCGGCTTGGCCTCGGTCGTGGGAGACGGCGCTGTGAGATTGAGCGCCGACGAATGTTTCCGTGAGGAGCTCGAGTGGGAGTGCAGCTATGCTCGTAGCCATCATGGACGCATGAAGGAACCCGGAAAGAACCAGAATAGCGATTCCAAGGCCCATCGGCCCGCAGTTCCGGCCTTTCACCAATCGCCACCATGACCATGGGAATCCAGTCTTTCCCTGTCGAGCTCCTCACAGAAATATTCCAGCAAGCACAAACTCACGATACAACTTTCGCAACGCAGGATCAGGTCGAAGGAAACGCACAGGTGGCATTGGATGTCTCCCGTGTGTGCCACTCCTGGCGATTTGCGGCGCTAGGGTTTCCAGCACTCTGGGTGTATATACCCTGGTGTGGATACCCAGCTGGACGGCTTGAGTTGCTTTCTGAGCAGATTCAACGCTCCAAGGGATGGCCTCTCGTATGCTTTCTTGCTTTGCCGCGTGCTACGCACATCTGGTTTCGTCTGCGGAACATCGTGGCGAACCATCTTCCCACTGCCCGGCAACTTACCATCCTGGAATGTGACGAAGCATACTTTTCCATGATCCTGCGAGGAAATTCTCCCAACTTGCGCTCCCTGTCGATCCAAACATCCAGCAGATTCAATATAGCGCCCCAACAAGCACAGCTAGGATTCGAGGTGTATAGCTTCGATGTGCTCAAGCACGTCTGTATTGATGGTATCGGGATAATGTCTATCAGTCCCATCGTCAAGAAAGCCGAGGTCGTTTCGGCGGCCACCATGCCGCTTCCCGTGCACACCATCCTCTTGCCATCCTCCTCATCCCTCTCATCTCTCACAATAGGCCCAGATGTGCACGTGAAGAATATTCTCCCGGGGTCTCTTCCTGTCCTTCTTCCTGCCCTCCGCGAATTGGATACTGTCACCCATCCTCGCGTGTCGCATTGGATCACTGCTCCGCACCTCCAATCACTGCAGCTACGCGTCGACATGCCCCAGAATCTCAAATATTTTGTCTCCAATCTGCTTCCAACATGGGCCGCCAACCCGTTGACCGAAGTCGAGCATCTGGGTATCAAGCTGGCGCCGCTAGGTCGCCAAGTGCACGGGTGCCCATCGTTCGGTCGGCTGTTCTCCGCGTTTCCCAGTGTACGCTATATGCGATGGGAGGTACATAGCCCTACAGAGGCGGTCTTACACTGGGCGCGACGATTGGATGCTTGGGATGCCGTTGGATCAGATGCTAGAAGGTGGCCGAACCTCCAGTCCATCACAATGAACAACGAGGAAATGTACTCACAGCTGCTTGAGGTGTTGTCGGTATGGCGCAAGTGTAGACTTGCGGTGATTAACTTTCCGGAATCAATTGAGGCTTGAGAACAGGCCTCGACATGTTATAACGCATTATATAGTTTGCATCGGAATCAATGTTTGGATATCATGTTGTTCGCGTGTGTTAGCGATAGTCAATCAGGGTTGTTGCAATAATTCAAGGAGCCCCCATACATTTGGTCGGCATTTGCCTAAAGCCCCGATTTTTTTGAACATTGTCTACTGTTCCATAAGATGGGAAGGTACACAAGGAAACCCAAAAGCCACCTTCTTTAACGCGGCCTGTCTACTGTCATTTTGGCAGGAGGCAGGCATTGTGCGATGATCGGCCCGAGGTGGCTGGACCCGCACCAGCTCTGTTCTCTACCACCACCATCACAACCGTCTACACATTGACACCACAGCCTAACGATGTCCGAGTACTCCGCATTTAACATCCCGATACCGCCGCAACGACGCGACTCACTCTCGCGGGCAACGCGGGACCTGATGGCGCTCGAAGGCGTCTCGTCGTCCAAACGGCCGAGTACATCCCACCACAACTCCAGCTCGAACATCCGCACACAGAATGGGAATCCCATGCCAGTTGCTTCTGGTTCATCGTCGAGGCCGCCTCCCACACCGAGCACAAGCAACATGAAGCCGACGCTTTCTGCAAGCCAGAAAAAGGCAAATCATATCCAAAGTGAGCAGAAACGGAGAGCAAATATACGGAGGGGATACGAGGCGCTCTGTGAAGTTGTACCAACGCTCCGTGAAGCTCTGGCGCAGCCGGCGGCGACAGAACCAAGGAAAAGACGGCGCACGAATGGGGTCAGCGAGGAAAAGGTCGCACAGGCAGATGGTCGAGCAGGCCCAAAGAGCGAAAACGTAGTTCTAGCGAAAAGTGCGTGCCCATTTCTGCTGAAAGGATTCTGCGCTGACAATCTACAAGCGATCGACCACATCCATGGACTGCTTGCGGAGACGGAGGCGCTGAGGGCGCGATTGGCGGCAGTAGACTCGCCAAATCGCGATCCAAATGAAGTGCGGCTCTGGGAACGTAAATGGGATGGAGGACACAAGCGGGGCAGCGACGACGAGGACGACGGGGACTCGGATGAGTGACACCGGGTCGTACCATCCTTCATCTCTTTTCCCTGTTCCCCGTATCTTTCTCGGTCAATACCTTGCTATGCTGGGCTCTTGGGTTCTGTCCTATTTATCTCGATTTATGTATCCTTAATTGCTATCGCGCGCGCTATCCTTGCCAACTTTGCATAGTATCCTATAGACCCCTCCTTCCTTGGCCTGGCCTCCTTGATATCGTGGGATACTCGGAGATATGCTTTTGCACCGCCAATGTTCCCTACGCTCTATAAGTATATATTCGACATTCTCCAACACTGCGCGCACGCCGACGCCCGCGGCGCCTTTGGGCAAAAGCGGGGTAATATCACAAGCAAGATGCGACGCCACATGGCGATTTCACATGCCTGATCGCGTGGTAGATGGGCGATGGGCGTAAGCTCGTTGTATGCCGTATCCATGGTTGGCCGAGACGGTGGGCGGTCGGATGTGCCCCCGAGTGCTGCTTTCGACCTAGATTTACACAGTCCGCACACTCTATGGAGACCAACAAGGAGTAACGATGATGTCTGCGGCTTCTAGGTCTCTCCGATTGGAAAGCAGGGTTCATTGGGGACTGCATTCCGATACAATGGGGCAAAAAGTATCTTTACACCTCAAACGGGGCCTGTTATCTCGCCTACGGGTGGCCGATCGAGAAGAACAATGACGCCAAGTTGCCGAGCCATCCGAGGTCGCTTCGTCGTCTTGACTCGAATGTCGCATGTGTAGTCTTGGCCGTAGTGTCACTCCAGCCCTCAAAGCCTGAGAAATGAGTTTCTTACCCCATGGTAAACGTGCATTGATGTAGCCGATCTGATTGCCATTGTTCCCCATTGTGTCGATCGGGTATCACATGACGGCGAATGCTTAGCAAAACCTCGCGTGCCGCTTTCAGACCACTGCCAGGAAGGGCCGTATATTATTCAAATTTATTTACTAGCCATGGTTACATTTTTCTGTGAGAGTTTTGTCTTCAGAGAGCATGCTGTGTGAGCGCATTATGAATGTTCTTAAGTGGCGCGTTTATGGAATAACGGGCAATATACTTGATAGTTAAATCAGTGGATAAATTCAATTGGTAGAAGCTATTTTTGAGCCTTCATAGTCCACTATTGAGCATTATACAGCATGCATGACTTCAGATTGTTGCCTTTTGGGGCTCAGCGTTCTCGACCTTGCATGCACAAAAAAAAGCTTGCCGAAAAATCCAGCATTGACCTCATATTCTTCCAAAGGTCAGACTTGTGATTTTGGTATGGGAGAAAAAGGTGCATGGACCCATGGCGCGGGCCAAAAGCATGATCCTTGGGCTTAGCCCAAAAGGTTATCCTCTAGACCACGGCGGGGATCGAACCCACAATCTCTGCCTACAGATTCCTGAGCAGACGTCGGAAAGCAACGCGGTAACCATTTCGCCACGCGGCCTAACAGAAAGAGCCAGTATAGGCTACCCAACCATCGACTCAGCAAGTTTGGTACTAAAGCCTTCATCATTTCACCCTGAAGCTGCAACTATATCTTCGGTCTTCATGATACTAAGAGTATAGTGACTTGCTCTGGAAGATGCGATGAAGTTGCGTACGTGTAATGAGCACCGTGTAGTATGTACATAATTTAAATAACTTTGTGCCCTGGCAATAATACTACTAGTACTACTAGTAAATGCTGTACTGTACGCATGAATTTACATTGCCACATCTTATTTTCTCATGTTTGGCATGACTCAAAATGCAGAAAGTGCTCACTGTGGTGTGCTATGCCAAAGCTCTGATCCTCATGAAGCGGCCCCGTGAGCCAAATGCAGAACGGTCTACCCAGCACCAGCTTACAGAGATTGATCAGATAGACACAGGATTTAATAGTAGACAGGGATATATAATGAAGCAACAGCGAAGCCCATTCAACCGTAATCTCCATACCATTTCCATTGTTTTGTCATCGAATTTAATCATCATCATGGGCTGATCATGGGTAACCTTTGTGTGTCTCGATGCGGATATCCAGAGGACAGATGGAAGCGGAGTGGCGCTTAATGAACCTTTCTGATTCGAACTATCTACATCTGCCAACTACGATGCCGGCAAATGGGACCCTGAGAATTCGGAGAGAGAACCACGTGCCCACAATCTGCAGTGATCGCTCGGCATCATTACATTTGTCGCTCTGACCATCATGGGCGTTTCATTGCTCCCCTCCAACATCCTGTGTAAGATTATCATCTCTGCGCAAGTATGCATACACGATCTGCATTTCCCAGAGTACATCCAGGTAGAAGACAACGCACGCATCACTACGGTCGTGTCGCAAGTCTGCCAGCACTGGCGCACCGCAACCTTCGCATTCCCTGAGCTCTGGGTACACATCCCCTGCCACTCACAGCAACTTGCGCGTCTGCCCCAACTCATCGCGCACATCGAGCGGAGCCAGGGCAGGGCTCTGACCTTTTCGTTTTACCATCCATGGACGCGGGAGACGGACGAGGAGTGGATAACGTTTGTCAGAAAGTACATCGACCGCGCAGAGCACATCACCATTCTCGACCGCGACCCACGAACAGTGCTGTCCGTCGTGATGGCCAACCGAACGCCAAACCTACGGTCACTTGCATTCAGACTGCTCGGAGGGACCGCGAACCTCGCCATCCTGTCCTCGGAATGCACAAATGCCTTTGAACGCCTCAGATACGTACACGCATATGGTCTGGTGATATACAAGACAGATCCCGACTCCTCCACCCCGAAACCAATCTTCCCTCCGGGTTTGGTCGAGATGTCCTTGGACGTACAAGAGATCCCAACACAAACAGTGCTCGCCCCATCCGCAGAAACACTCACCTCATTAACGCTCGGCAGTCGGGTATCCTTCAAAGGCAGCGGCCCACCCGTCGTGCTCATCTCACTACAGAAACTCGTAGTGTCGGACAACACCGACTTCCCGCGCGGACTCCGCGTCCCAAACATCGTTCGACTCGAGCTCCGCAATTTCTACACGCGCTCTGTGCACCAGCTCATTCGTACGCTCAGAAACACGTGGGCGGACATGCCCGTGCCCGCTCTTCAGGACATTCTCATAGGGCTCCCCGAAGACTGCTGGCGGAACGGCAATGGCCCGATGAACGACATGTCCTCCCTCTTTGCCTCGTTCCCCTGCGTCCGGCGCGTGCACGTGGACACGCGATGGCCGTTGGTGCTCGGTGGATGGGGTCGTGCGCTTAGGAACGAGAGCTATTGGCCCGAGCTACGGCATGTGGCAGTGAGAAACGAGGAGACGTATGAGGCGCTGAGGTGGGCCCTGCCTGACTCAAGAAGGGATGTGATCAAGGTCGACGTGCTGCACACGTAACGAGGGCGGCTGGTCAGTGCATTGCTTCCCAGGACTTTCCTTCTAATAACATGATCTTTTAGGACGGGCTACTAGGATTACAATACCGACTGTAGCGAACTATGTTAGAATATATGACCCCCGCCGCCGCTGCACATAGACTACATCCTTCCCCCAAGGTGTATAACAAGGGCATTCAATCCTTAGAAGGAACGTCAGAGGTACAATAGATTTTGCTCAGCCGAGTGATTGGTCTAGTCAGCACTCTGACTGGTGCACACCGTCTACCGAGGCTTTCGTCGTATGATAGTTGCTACGATAACACACATGAGAAGTGATTGTGTAGTTAAGTCGAACATTCTGACCATCGGGAAGAAAGACAATGGTTGCATGACAAATGCATCCAAATACGGAAATAGAGGTAATCATAGATAAACACTGCACAGGGGTTACTCAGCCATTTTCACTTCCGCAAGTCGTTGGGATACTTCCCTTCCACTGAATCGGTCTCGCGAAATATTGGTTATGAAGATATCAATTCGATAGCCTTGGCTAGATAGGTAGTAGTACAAAAACTGTAAGGAGCGAGCAATGCACGAATCTTTTCAGCTACATCTCACATGATACACGCTCACGGGTACGCAACGGCCCAGTGACGCTCGGCCAACAACTCCCCAATGGGGCCCGCATGTTGCGCACTCAACCACTCGAAACGCCTCTTCACAACCTGCCTCGCCTGTGTATGGCTGACCTGTACCCAGCCTGGCGGTGGCGGCGTCCCATCATCGACACCAATAATCCGACCGCTACCCTCCTCACCCTCACTAACCTCCATGTGCACGACCAAGTGGTCACCCTCCTCGCGCAACAGCTGCGTCAGCTCCGCAAGGTCGTTGAACACTGCCCTTAAGGAGTTTGGAATTGCCGCCCTCTTTGCAATGCTGTCGAATGGCAGAGTCGGAACCTCCGTCTGCCCGGGCAACGCCACACGCTTCCCACGCTCATCCACTCCATACACCACAAACGGCTTCTCACTCTCCTTCGCATTCACCTCGTACTGGTGCACCTCATCCTGCCGTTTCTCAAACGCCTCCTTGATCTCTGCCGCACGCTCGTACCAGTTCGCAATACCAACGCCTATCACACGCTTGGTCCATGGGACAGGGTCGCCGATGGCTCCGCCTGTAGTCTGGTCGACAGAGAACCGAATCCCAATGGGTCCACCGCGAGCACCGGCCAAAATCTGCGCCATGTCGACAGCCAAGTCTTCCATACGCTGGAGACGCAGGCAGCGCAGCCGCGAGCTCAGGCTCTGGCCGTACTTGCGTCCCTCGGAGTCGATGTTAACATGGAACGGTTGCCCACGGGCCTCAGCCTTGCTCAAACGCGCCAAAGTGAACGCCAGTGGCCGGGTGGACACAGTCAGCGACAGCACAGGTCGCCAGAACGGCGTCTCTGCAATATGTTTGAAGTACTTCTTGCGAATGGCCGCCGTGCTCGCCTTCCAGGCATCTCGCGCTTCAATCTCCCGCGTGTCAAGCTCACGGCCTTCCACAGTGTGAGTAAAGGCACTCGTATCGCCGCGAGGGGCGGACGGCGTCGGGGGGATGAATCCAGAGGCGTGTTGGGGAGGCTGTTCTTCGCCATTGTCCCGGATACCAGACACCTCGGTCGGAATCTTGCGCTTGCTCGGGCGTGTGCCAGCCTCGAAGTCTCCCAGAAGCATATGACCCATGACCGCAGCGTCCTTCTCCTTCACCTGCTGCCATTGTTCTGGGTGGACGTAAACATCGGGCACGTCGTCGTTAGGCTTGCTACGGGTATCGGGCGCTTTTGGTGGAGGCAAAGGATACTTCCCAAGATCCTTGGCACGAGTGGGAACTTGGAAACCAGAGGGATGGTACGTCCCATCCGGACGCTCGAGTTCGAATGGCACCTTCCCATCCGGGCGGATGACGCCGCTGCTAATACCGTCCAGCCCGGTCTCCTTGACACGCTGCTTGACGGCGGCGGTCTGGCGCGCGACACGGTCGGGGTCCACATCATAGACGTCCTTAAGTTTTGGTGTCGATGGCATGAGGGCATCCGACTCGTCTTCAAGCGTATCCCATATCTCAACACGGCCCTGCACCTTGGAGCCCTTGGTTGCCTTGGACTCTGCCACTTTAGGCTAGAATTTCGGATGAGTTGATGCTTCATAATGCTAAAAAGCAAACGCACCATCTCTAGCTGTCCAAATGGCCATTTGGCGCGGTCCATGAGTTGTAGCGAACGGGCAGGCGCGTACTCGCTGTTGTAGCGAGCAAGAACATCCTCGAGTTCACCATGACGGCAGATACCAATTTCATGCACGAGTTGATTCGGGCGTCCGTGCCCTGGGTATTGCACGTCGTATCTGTGGTCACTGTGAGCTGCGCCGGCAGATGCTAACATGTCACGCACCTCGACTCCAATAAATACACGGTGTGGGGTTCATATGCCGCCGCTGGCGGGTTGGAGTACTGCTTCCCATTCGAGATTGAGCGTCCGCCTGGGAAATACAGCTCCGACCTCAGCTTCTTCGGACCGGTGAAGCCAGGCTTGACCCTAGGTGTGCGTTGTAAGAACGATGAAAAGCCATAAGCGCAGATATGAAGGCACGCACTGCTTGCTGTCGGACATCAGCGTGGTCATCGTTACGCGTTGAGTGGATTCTGCCGCAACAGTCGCTCGTCGCGACATTTCCACCTTGGCCGAGCCTTGGGGATTTCGGTTGGCGGCTATGCGGGTGCATGTAAGCGCTTTGACATTGATGTGGGGTAGGAAGGCGTACTGGACTTTGCAGACGACGCGGAGAAAGGCCTTGCCGGCGTTGCCAATTGGCGCATACACGCAATGCGCGCTAATTGCGCGCCAGCCGTAGCGGCTGAACCTGGAATGCGCACAGAAGGAGTGCGGGCCATAGTCGTTATTCAAGTCGCGGGGATGTATGCGTGGATTTTCTGAGCGCTGTTGGCCAGAAATCGAAATGGGTGAAAAGCTGGTAGTCGTGGTGGTGCGGAGGCAGAATTTATCCTCTGCAGATGGACGGAGTTGTGACGCAAGATCATGGGGACGTGACATCA